GGAATATTTAGAAGAAATTTTGTTTTAGTTAAAACTTTGCCGAATAATTGTTATAATACTATAATACTAGCGGTGATAATTTTAATCTTTCAAAATTTAACGGTATAAACCAGTCATAGACTAAGCACAGCAAGAATTAGTAATCATCCACAAATTTTCAACAGGATTGGTATGAAAACGTAAGTAATATTTAAATGTTAACACCACCAAAAGCTTTTCTGCAAAGATCTGGTTGAATAAATCATTACAGGTATATGTAATAGTATTATCTTAATTTTAAATCCTTCTCTTCTTTTCTAAATAAGTTCAACTATTCTAAAAGAATGCTCAACTATTTTGTATTTGATATCTTAAGAAGTAATAAATAGTTAGAGGATTAAGAAAATTTAGAGTGAAATTTAGTTTTGGTGAATATAGCTAAATTTCTTCCGTTTATCATCAACCATAAATTCTGAGTGGGGGGGGGGATCTCTCAGTCTTAAACTCAAGCCTTTCCCCTTCCCCAACCTGTTCTCTTTTACGGTATTATTAAAGCTTCTGTACTGAGAATCATTCATAGAGAACGGAAAGGAATGTAAACTGCTTGTCCGATAACTAAGATACAATAACACGCCGATATTTGGATCCTTTTTAAAGTGAATGTCAGAAAGAAAATGAATAAGGAATTTTAATTCTTTGCAACAGACTAAAATCTAGATGTTAACTTTGGAGTTCTTAAAAAATAAAGTATCTAAAATCTAGATGTTAACTCTGTGATTCTTAAAGAATGAAGTAATTAAAATCTAAATGCCATTAAAATCTAAATCTGTGGTTCTTAAAGAATGAAGCTAATATCTATCTGGGTAAGTATCTTACTGTATTTTGCCCTGTAAAATATATAATCTTCTGATCAAAATCTAAAAAAGTACGAATAATATAAATCAATGTGCAATCTGAAATATAAAAACAAAATGCATAAAAAGCAGTCTTATGAAGTCTATGTTGAACAATCATTAGTTATGAATATCTTTTAGGCAGAATATCTCAATTTTTCTAAATGCCTAAAAAATCCAGCTAACACTAAGAAAAGTACCTGAAAAAAAAAAAAAAAAAATCTCAGGACTATGTAAAATCTAATTCAGCACCACGAGGTGAAACAGGCATAGCCATGCAAAAAAGAATATTTAATAACCAGGATCACTTTAGTGAGAAGCTGAAGCCTGCAGAAAATAAATATATTCCTAGGGAAAAAGCATATAAAATTCTGTATATGAGAGGCCGAAAGCCTCGATGAAGATGAATTGTAACAGTTCGGATAGTGTCCATGACTACCTTTATTGATATCTTCCAGATGTTAAATGAAATCAAAAATATATTTGCAGAATTTTGTATATTAGACATTTCGAAAACCATTACTGGAAGAATAAATGAAGTAGCTCCAACACCCACTGATAAGCTGTTTGTTTCTATTCAATATTATAGAAGAAATTTTCAACGTTGGTACTCCGCGTAGTTTTAACGTCTTTTCGTATGTTTTAGTATTTTGTATGTATCTGGAAATTAATGTAATTGGTTATTTTATTTTTTATTTGTTATGATGTCCTTTAAGGCTTCACACTAGTGTTTAATTCTGAGCATCTTTACTCAGCAGTTCGACAGCTTTGCCTTCATTTCCTTCGTTGAGAATACTTATTGTGAGCTGTCGCTTTCTTCAACTATTATGACTTTTTCTTAAACTTAGTGACTATTATGTTATTTAGTACCGTATTTATTCGCGTAATAGTCGCCCTCGCGTAATAATCGCACCCTGGTTTTGAAGCAGAAAAAATCGTCAAAAGTGTACAATATTGTGCAGTAGATTTCCCCGCATAATAATCGCACCTAGACTTTCACAATGATAAACTGGCAGAAAAAAAAAAGTGCGACTATTACGCGTGTAAATATGGTATGTCCATATTTACTTCGCTGAGATATATTCGCAAGGAATTATTTCTCGATGGAGGTAGGTCACCATAGACCAGGTACTCGCGTGTTTGCACTACTCGAAGACAAGAGAACGTAATATCTGTTGATAGTATGTATGAAAATGTACTACTAAATGAAGAGTTCTTTTTAAGTCTGTATAGTATGCTATCTAGGACTTAATATAAAGCATACTCATTGGAAATTACAGGCATATTAATCAAAAATAAAAAGATATTAATTGTTATAACGCAACAAAAGATTATATGTACGATTACCTTTCAAAGATGAAAAGAAATGTTAATTTTTGAATATTAAAAGTATTTAACTAAAAATTTTAAATGTAACGTATAAATATTTTAAATGTAACGTTTTAAGTACGTTTCGAAGACTTTTCCCTTATAAATAATCAGTTTTACAGATTTTCTTTAATGCGAAAGAATATGTATCACTCAGATCCCCCAAAAGCGATTTTTTGATTATAGAATTCGAATATAATTATAATTAAGTGCCACACTGGTAATCGAATTGTCCAATGAGTTCCCTGCTTTGTTCATAAAATGTATTTTGCGGCATGCTAACATTAAATATGGAAGAACTAGTAACTAAGAAAAAGAAATATCTATAATTGCCGCTATAGCGTAGAAAATTATATTACTTTTTCCTGCGTTTTGGAAAGAAGAGAATGCTAGAGGAAAGCTTGTTATAAAATTTGCGTATGTTAAAATAATCAGTTAAGAACCGAAGATGTAAGCAAATTAAATTCCGTAAATAAAGTACTCAAGGATATCGTAAGATTTGCAAATATTTTTTTGACTAATACGTTCTTCTCTTCTTTTTCAGAGTCTAGACGTTTTCTAGAAATATTTTAGCCAATTATTCTCTTCTCTCCCGTTACAGATAAACAACTTCCCTTGAAAATTGGATTTTATAATCAAATTCTTCCATCTGGCATTTAAAGAATAGCACTTTGGAGGATGAAAGTAAAATGGCATCTGTAAATTTCTGAATGTTAATGGATACCTAAAAGATTCAAATTTCTTTTAGATTTTATTCTATATGCTTTCCTGGTCTGCTATTGCAGCGTTAAAATAACAAATTCCGAGCCAGCAAAGAATAACTTGTCACTTTCAGAAGCGGCAACTCGATTTAAGTTTTCAACTAAAAGTTTCAGAGTTTTTAGTTCGTAAACAGTATGGAAATTATGTAAGATTTCAAACCGTTACCTTTAATTTGTTAGCAGCATATTGATATCCTTCTATATTTTCATACCTTAACATATTTCAGGCGACAACATTTGCTAATCGATAACTGTTTAATGAAATTTAATGTTAAGTAAGTACAGAAAATATGTTTCCAGTTGCTTTAATTTAAACAAAATGAGAAACTTCGAACAGCATCCTACAAGGTAAAGTATGATCATATATCACATTGTTTATATCACATATCAAATATCATATTGTTTATAAAACTCACAGTACATTTCAAAAATAATGAACAAGTACGCTAAAATTGATTTGCTTGAAGATGAAGTATTAATTTAATTTTTTAAAATTTAATTTCGTTAATAAAATACATTACTTACCTAAATTGCAGTGTATTTATGTTTCAACTTTTTACTGCTATTTATCACTTTTAACGAATATGTTTTAGCCCCTTTAATTAAAAATTTGTTTTAGGTCATACAGCCTTTGTTTGTCTGATCGTTATTATAGTTATAAGGATTTTGTAGGATGCATACTGAAAATTAATTCAAATGATGTTTTACTCATTTCTTTGAATTAAAATTTTATCATGAAAATTTGCAAATATTTCCGACTGAAAATATTCTGAATTCTAATCTGGTGAATTCCTAGGTACTTCTTTTCAGATTTGTTGATGAAGCTATGACTTAATCGGCCTGACTAAATGCTGCAGAAATAATAAGACCTATAACAAAAAGAAAAGAAAAATGGAAAATGATGGTTTTTTTTCCTACACTAACTAAAAATTTCAAACCATATGTTACAGTAATAAAAAAAAAAAAAAAAAAAAATACGCGACTCGAACAGTGTATTTTATTACTCTACATTTCGTATTATGATGTTTCTTACTGCACATCTTTGTCAGTTATTATGCATTTCAGCTACAATGTATTGTTCAGTTATTACAGAAGTAAGAAACTATTATTCTCTTAAAATTGTTTATTGTAATATAATAGTTAAAATAATAAGCATAAAGCATCATAATAACTTTAATAACTTAATTTTCCTGTGAGTAGACAGTATAGCCTTTGGAATTTTTCTAATAATTGCCAGTTTTGATTGGCTTAATCAGTTTTGATTGGTTAAACTTGATTACTTTTTAAAAATTACTACCGAGTTTAAAGTTAGTGTCGGGCATAAATACTTTCGTAGTCCGGGCAAAAGTTATAAGATTATATCCTTTTAGATTATAAGATCCTTTTAGATTATATCCATCAGAAAAAAAGTCTACTTATTCGTTATGCTTATTTTTATTTAATGGGTCACTCAGATACCATTGCGGTTGAGCCCAGAAAACAAAAATGTTAAAAATAAATTTTTTTATACATTAATTTTTAAAATTTGTGATTTATTAATTTGATCAGAAATGTATATAAAGTCTTTTTTTCTAGGGTAGTCTCTGCAGCAAAACAATATATGTACAGGATGTTTAAATAAAAACGTAAGTATTTATTGGGGCAATGGTAGTATCTTAAAAACATTTAGGACTTAACCTTGTGGCAGCTGAAAAAGATATCTATACAAAATTAATACAATAACATTTGGTATCATAAGTTTTATGACCTAGAAAAAACGAAACAACGAATAAATTACTTAGAAACTAAGAATATTATTTATTCCATTAAAATTTACAAAATCAGAAAATATTAAAAAAAAATGGACTTAGAGCTACTCAGTTAAGAGAGCAGAATAATAAAACTGTAATTACTTCATTCATTAATATATTATTTATTACGTTATTGGTTATATATTATTAAAATTGTAAAAGCAAAGGGTAAAAAAGAAATTAATTACAACAAAACTTTTATAGCTTACCTGCTCCGTATCTGTTATGGATGTATCTTTGTTGATACCACGGATATACTTGATAAGGTTCACGGAAGAACATACCAGCCAGAGTGGCATCCATTGATGGTAGGCACCGTGGAAGAGATTGTGGAAACAAACCCGATGAACTCGGGAAATATGTCCTATGCCTTGAGTTCGTCGCCGTCGTCAACGTAGCTGCGGGTGATACACCGGCGGGAAACGTGGGAATAGGGATCAACACTGCTGGGGATGCCGGCTGAGGAGATCTCGTAGAATTTTCAAATAAGCGCGCTTGCGGAACTTCCTCAGGGATTTTAGGAATGCTATAGTCTTTCACTGCTAATGGAGATGATGAATCATCTGGGTAAGAGGCAGAGTCACTGGACTCACTTTTTTTGCCCATAAGAGCATCAATTGAAAAACGAAGTTGTTTCGTTTTATTGGTCTCTAATAAATGTGTATTAGATACCTCCATCATATTAATAACATTTGATCAATGAAGCACTAATATTAGCAATTCTCTTACATATATTGCAAGTTCTGTATAACTTCGAATTTTTTTTTTTTTTTTTTTGAAATTCTCTATAATCCAAACTATATTACTTTAGAACTGGGACTCTTCCGGAAAACTTTGAAATAATTGATTTTCATATAAAAATAGCACATACCTTCTGAAAATTTACAATCATACACTCGATTAAATCTTCTGATAAACCAAAACAAATACACATATAAAATATCAGTTTTCCATTATATATATATTACATATGATATCGCAGAATTCCACTCCATTTTTTTTTTTTTTTTCCCTTCTCAAATACTTCCAGTGGTGCTTAACTACCTTCTTCGATCAGCACAAAACTTCAACTAAACGATGCATGTCGCCTGCCGGGAGAATTCCGAAGCATTAATTGTGTTAGATAAAGCAAACTTTTTGTCGCAATTCTATTGGATGCGAAGAAACACGTGGACGCAAAAGGTGTCTGTTATGGGTGTGGATACGCTAGGAAGCTTATTGGTTAAAAGTTCAGGCAATAGATGGCGCTGTGTGATTTGATGTTGTGACTGAAATGTAAGTGGTCTCATGAAGTGGAAACTGCATAGTTTCACTACCTTTAAAAACTTCTTTAATTATAATCCATCTTTAGAATATAAATTCAGTTTGAAAACTAATAAAAAAATTTTAATTTAAAATCATTTTATTAAATCTAAAGAATAAAATTTAGTCTCTAATAATTATTTACTGTCTTTACATTACGTAGATTAGATCCGTAAGCTAGCTGCTATAGATTACAAAGAAAATACATTCTAAAATGCAAAAGAAGAAAGGAGAGATACATTGGGATAAAACATTATTTTAACGTTAAATCATCTTAGATCTTAACATTGGGAGAAGCTAACATATTCTCTATAAAGGCATCCAAAGTTTTAACTATTTGTATGGCAAGATCTCAATCTTCCTGCGAATAAACAGGAAATTTAAATACTATGAATTTTTTAATAATTACTTTGATTTAATAATTTAATAATTATTGAGATTTAATTATTAAAATCTTTTTAATAATTACCAGGATATTTTAATTGAAATAATGTTATTTAAATTATTGATTAGATTTCATTAGTAAAATAATTTTGCTAAATTTTAATTATTAAGCCCATCAGTTATCTAATAATTTTTAATAATGTGAAAAATAATTATATAATAATTTGAAATTTTAATAATTACTAAGATTTTTACCAATTGCTTAGATTAATTTGCAATTTTTTTTGAATAATTATTGAGATTATTAAATTATTCTTGGAATTTTCTTTAATGCTAACTAAGTTTGAAGTTAGCGTCGAGCATAAATATTTTCGCATCCAGAACAAAAGGTATTAGGATTGGTTTGGTTTGGTTTATTGAGATTATGGCAAAGCACACTAGGGCTATCTGCCTAAGGGGAGGGATGCCTTCGTGGAAGACTTTCTGAGGGAAACTGGCTCGTATACATGTTACACATGGGGAAAACCACGAAAACGCCCATGCAGCCAGTCAGAAAATTTTCAGCTATTCGTTCGCTTTTTTTTTTTTTTTCAAATAGCAAGAGAAACAGTGTAAAATAATGCGGTAAAAATAAGTACTAAAATACAATATTTTTGTTAAATTATTATCATTTTATTTTTTGACACATGGCTAATTTGGGATCGACTAAGCTCCTTGCCTGCGTATTCCACTTTTTTGATACGCAGATAACCTATTATGCTTTGTTATAATTAAATAAATAAATAAATGCTCTTTGATATGATACTAGTTGAGGTTGTTATTGTTCCCGCCCCGGATACACCTCATAAATACTTCCGTATTTTAGTATAAGATAGTTCCTATGTATTTCCTGAATTAAGTTTTAGTAAATTTTAATATCTTGATGAGTTTTTTGGGAAGGGAGCGTAAAAAAATGTGCACGCTTTTAGGCGTATGCATATTTCTCTTAAAAATGTGTACTAACAATTTTTACAGCTTTTTTGCCACGTCCATGCCACTTTTATATTAGTATGGATAATAAAATTTTGTTAGGAAATATACATGCATATTTTTTAAAATCCAGTTTTAATGTAACAATTACAAGCTAAGAAGGAATTTTTGACTAAACTTTCTTTAACTTACAAGCGGCTGAGCAGTAAATCCGCTGATCACAGGTTTTTCGAATGGAGTTGAAGTTGAAACTGCCTGGCTGCATGAGAATTTCGTGGCTTTTCCCGTGTGTAATGTGAATACGAGTTTTCCTTTAAAATTCCTGTACGAAAACATCCTTCTCTTAGGCACATTTACATAAATCTGGATAATCCAGTCCTAAACTATTTTTAAATGTACTTTTCATTAACTTAAAGCTTTACCTGTTGAACAAAGCATTAAGGTAAAATTTACAATGAGGAGGTTTTAATGCCTTACAAGTTGCACAGAACATAAAAGAACATAAAATTTTCGATAGTTAATTAAAGGAAATTAAGATTCGTTTTAAATTGTTATGGCTCTTATCTTTATTATCGCTCGTGGTATACGAGCCAGTTTTCCTTAAAAAGTCCTCCCCTTAGGCAGATAATCCTTGAGTGATTTGCTATGATGTAAATTAGCAAAATCTTTTTTTTTAAATCGTTCTCAGTTGTGTTTTTAAATCTTTTGACATTTTTTCAAAAAATATCATATCATTAAAACCTTTTATATAGGCTTATTAATAATAAACTTTATTTAATCGAGTAGTATTACATCTGACACCTCGCTTTAGATTTATAATACATATATAACATCTCTGTGCATATAACACATGCACGTAACTTTTATTCATGCATAATGCGCATAGAAATGCGTTTTCGAAATTTTAAGTTTGAATTTAAACTGTATTTTTCAAAATTTGTTATATTTTCAGTAACGAAGTATAAGAAGCCAGTATTAATAGTGCAGTTAAATTCATATCAGCTGAGATTAAGAATATAGTTTTGTAATTCAAAATTTCATTCAACAGTAGTAGAAAGGATTTCAATACTGTGCGTTGTTGACGTAAATGCACGTTTATACCTAATAAATAAAAAAGTCAAACATAAACAGAACTAATATTCTTCTTTTCCCTATTTACAAAAATTTTAAGTAAGACATAATTAAATTATTTTTTGAGCGTGCGGGGTTTAGTTTCATTTCTTTTCTATGACATTCATCAAAATATAAAAACTTTGTTATACCTGTCAAATTACACTGAAATAATCTTAAAATTTATTTTAATGAAAGATTAAAAATGATTTTGGATAAAATTTACACTTCATGAAACAACATTTGTAGTGAAATATGCGGTAGATTCAAGTTAACTGGGCCTTTCCGTAACCGTAAACTTTGGTTATTTGGCCAAACTTAGATCAAAATAAGTGACTGCCCGATCTGATTTTAAAATTTAAGAAAACACAAGTCATACTAACATTTCAGAACATTTCAAATTCCTTATTTTGAATGAATAGGGTAACAAAAATGAGTTAAATTGCCGTTTAATTGTGATTTTTTTTATTTAAAGTATTTGCGCATTTCATTCCCTCAGTTTCAACATATATATATATATATATATGTAATTCGCTTTTCGAGTACGTCCGTACGATTGCTGTGTATACATTTTCAAGTACGTTTGTTACTTATTAAAGTTAACGTTTTTTTTTTTTTTTTTTTTTTTTTTAGTCTCCATACTACTCAGTTTTTGAGCGAAATAGTAATTCTAGACTGAGCCGGCTTGAGTCCTAAATGAGATGAAGTCTGAGATACTTTTTTGTACAACTCAATCACAATACTAACAGAAAACTGTGTTATTAATGCAGCATTTATTTCAACAATTAGTAAAACTAATGTCAGCCACTGATTTGGTGCCTCAGTTTCAGGGGAAAAGGCCATATACGTAGAAAAACTTGAGTACGTTGTTGTTGACTAATGTTCACTTTAAATACGTAATATAAGTGAAAGAACCTTAGGAAACAGCTCCCCGTTGCTATTTCTTAAAAAAAAAAAAAAAAAAAAAAAAAAAAAAAAAAAAAGATTTATAGACTCTGTTTGTTCGGTCAAATATTCAAGAAGGCATTTAAATAAATAAGGAGCGATAATAAGGACATCTGATCATCAACAGGATCACATGAACCTGATAACAGGTTCATCTGATCTCAAAGAATATTGTTCAAAACTTCCTCTTATTGTCAATGTACAAATCCTTGTAATTATTAATTTAGTCGCCTTTCAATTGTTTTTTAATTCCATTTTTAAAATTCATTAGTTAAATTTAATATATAATTCCCCTCTTTATAATTCATTTACATTATTTATATTCATTCATTAATCTTTTTGTTACTTTTTTTTACCTAATATTTAATTTCAATTATCAATTATTTTTTATTTTATTTATTATTAACTTATTTATTTACTTTTCTTTGACGCTTCTGAGAACTTTTTATTACGGCTCCGACAATTATACTTTTTAAAATTAATTCCTGGTATAAATAAACACAATCAGGAAAAAAATGCTATTGTACAGAGCTCCTTGATATATGTCTGAAGCTCTTAAATTTCATTTGTATGGGATAAAACTAAAAGTATTGTATTTTCATTCACTTAAAGATGGAGGATTATTAGTAACATTTGAAACTTCATTATTAGTATTAAATATAGATTATATAAGCAATCGTATTAAGTGAATCATTAATCTTTCCGGCATTTCCAAAATTTATTCTACTAATGACTATAGCAAATTAAGCAAAAATTTGCATTTCAGTACATAAAGAATCTCTCCAAATTTGTCACGTATCATACATGTGCTCGGTATGTGACACGAGAGACTTCGGCTTCAAGTTGGCTGTCCCGCTTGCCCTTTTCTTTTCCATCGTCTCGGTCAGCTAGTTTCCTAGGACTTATTATAGCACGCACAAATAAATAGTTTTGCTTTTTGGTACTTCTCTTTGCTATTTTGTAAGAAATCTTTGTTATACCTTCATATTGTCATATATTCACATTCAAAGATGCAATAAACATTAGTCACTAATGAATATTATTATTATGACAATAATAATAATATTCATTAGTGACTGCCATGATATACTATGCGTTATACTGCAGCTTAGCGTTATGATTGCCATGCAATAGCTAAATCTGCAGCTGAGTGACATAACCTGTTACGATATAAGGATCCAATTTAGAATTTACAGCTAAGTGTGTGGAATCTTGAGAACTGGTAAGCGAATAATCGCTTTAGCTCAGGATACAGAAAAGGGTTAATTACCCTTTATTGCTCAAAATAAGGTTTTACAGATGGTTCTTTCTCGGAACGTACAG